GAGGAAAAGTGAAACTTCTGCCTTGGCCAGTGCAGCGTCACTTTGGACTGGGGACAAAGGGGTGAGCGTGCACACAAGCTGTGCCAGAGAGTGGAGAAACTTCCCAAGGCTTGGAGAAGCTTGACCAAGGGCGGCCAGAGCCTAACTACTATTACTACCAAATGGTCGTGTAGAGATGTACTGTTGCGTTAAGAACCTACCCAGCAGACTGGCCGAAGCTGCAGATTAAGAGCGGAAACAGATGAGGCTGGATGTGTGGCTTCACGCCTGTATCCCAGCACTTTCAGAGTAGCGAGGGCAGGTGGGATCACCTGAGGTTGGGAGTTTGAGACCAGCCTGACGCTAACCATTGGAAGAAAACCGCATCTCTACGTAAAATACCAGAATAGTCCAAGGCGTGGTGGCGCATGCCTGTAATCCGTAGCTACTCAGAGCAGGCTGAGGCAGGAAACGCTTGAACCTGGAGCCCGAGGTGTGCAGTGAGACAAGGAGCCACACCTGGCTAATTTTGTATTTTTAGTAGAGACGGGGTTTCGCCATGTTGGCCAGGTTGACTTCGAACCCCTGACCTCAGGTGATCCACCCACCTCAGCCTCCAAAAGTGCTGGGATTACAGGCGTGAGCCACCACACCCGGCAAAAATGACTGTTCTTAACTACTCATTTCTTCTGTGGCTGGTGTCAGAAAGTCAGCTTAGCTCCAAGCAAGGTGTTTCTGCACAATCTAGACATACAGAGCCCTCTGGGTCCCTGCAGGGCTGTGGGAGGAACCCTGGGCTTGGAGACAAAAGACCTGAGTCTTGCCCTGGCTCTGCCGCCAATCAGTTAGGTCATCTTTAATTTTTTTTTTTTTTTTTTTTGAGACAAAGTCTCACTCTGTCACCCAGGCTGGAGTGCAGTGGCATGATCTCAGCTCACTGCAACCTCCACTTGCTTGGTTCAAGCAATTCTTGTGCCTCAGCTCCAGCCCTACTGTTCACCTCTTAATCTGACTTCGGCAGTCTGGGGTAGGTTTAACGCACAGTCCATCCTACAGACTTTGGTAGTAAGTTAAGCTCTGGCCGCCTTGTAAGTTCCAAGCCTTGGAAGTTTCTCCACTTCTGGCACATTGGTGCCACGTCACCCTTTGTTCCCAAGTCCAAAGTGACGCTGCACTGGCAGGCAGAAGTTTCACTTTCCTCCTGCCTTCCTGCTTCTGCTCTGGGGATGAAAGCAGGAGGTGAGAGACAAGGAGGGT